TCCTCCTGCACTTCGCCAACCAATGGGAACTCCCGGGGAATCCCCGTGAGAACTAAAAATAGCGCTAGAACTCAAAAGTAGCGGCAGAGGCGGATATTAACGCCTTGCCTGTCAATCAATACTGTTGGCAAAATGCCAGGGGCCATACAGACTCGGCTGTGGCTCTCAGCAGGCACGGAGGGAGGCGGTGATGCAGGGAGGGGGGGGGCATCCCAGGGTCTCGGTGCAGTGCCTGTGCTCCCCTACAGAGGGACCCCGGAGGCCCGGGCTCCTGGAGAGGGTGGGTTGAGGCTCGCATGTTGGATGCTGGTCATCTTATGTCTGAGGCCACGTTTACCTGGTGCTCCAAATTCGGTTTGGTACTTAAGGTCCGAGTCCACCCTCGTGATGGCGGTGGCATTCTTGCCATCTACAGCGTTCCAAATGGCACCCTGGTAAGGTAACTACCAAAGACGCGCGCTTTTGTTTTGTCGTCTTGTTTTTGACAATCCTCCAGGAGCCAGGGAGAAGGAATCAATCAAGGAGACCAAAGGATCCCCCCGCCCAGCACCAAGGTTTTCCCCCTCCAAGGGTGGATGCTGTCACTGGCAAGGTGAGGGGTCAGTGTTTTAAGGACATGGAAATGGGACTGGTTTAGATGTGGGCATCTGTATAGGTTCAGCATGTAGATCGTGGAGGTCAGTTCCTCTCTCGGATGAGGATGAGGGCTACTCCTAGGGACCTGCACGGGGTCCCCACCGCATTCACACTTCCCAAAGGATGCTGCGTTCATCTTTCCCCTTGGGAACATAAAAGAATGTGTCCACAGACAGACAGAGGTTGGATATTGAAAATATGTGTCCCCCAAACGTGAGGTCAGAACTGTGGGAAAATTAACTTACTACAGCAGGAAGAAAATGAGTACATTTTAGAAGTAGAATATCACAGATATCACAAATATCGCAGATGCGCTCAAATGAACATGCCGACTTGATACTCCGACTTGCCTCTTCGATGTGATTTCTGAAACAAGTGTCCTGCTTATTTTTCTGATCTGTGTAATCCATATTTGGTTACCCTTGGTGGGCTTTTCCAAACCAGAAGTCGGAATATTTGCATGACTGAAATCTTGGTTCTTTGCTGTAATCGGTCCATCTCTGCCTTCTCCCCACTTTGTTCGTGGGGCCTCAGGAATGATCCCCTCTACACCGCGCTGACTCTCCAGGCGTCTCTCTCTCCCTCCCTGTTTCCTACTACTGGGATTGAACCCAGGTGGCTTTACCAGCTGAGCAACATGCCCCCCAGTACTAGGTCTCACTGGGTCACTGAGGCTAGCCTAACAGGTGGACTAGAGGCATGTGCCGCAGCTGACTGCAAACATCATTCCAGTTGGTATCAATGAAAATACACGTTTCTGTGTGCCCYAAACCACCTCCCGCGTCCCTGTTTTCTAGAGTCCTCGCCGGCTCCTAGGTGGAGTCCCGGTGAAGTCCCGTCGAGACAGGCAGGCAGTGTGAACAGGCGAGTCGGGTGGATCCACCGAGGAGGCCCATCTGAGCCGGGGAASTCGGAGACCCACGACGGGTTCCCCGGAGCCGCTCCCCTGCGGCGGGACCCCAGGTCGCTCCCTAACGGCCCGACACTGGGCGGCTCCAGCACTCTCCCAGCTCCGGGCCAGCACGGTSTCGCMCGGCCTCGGAAGCGTTCGCGTCAGAAACGGTGACTGAGGCGCCCTAAAGCTGTTTGAAGATCCCGCCGGCCGCCCTGGGGGCGGAAGCGGCGCCTCCGGGAAAGCGCCGGCCAGACCTTCCAGGTTTGGGCTGCGTGTCGTCGTGGAGAAGAGCTGCTCATAGCCGTGCTTGCCTGGTGTGAGCTCGAGCCTCTGACACTCTCTCCATTCCCCGCCAGAGCCTAAGCGCTCTGCCTGGAGACGGTCGCAGCGGCGCCAGCGGGTCCGGAAGCTGTACGGAAGGTGTCCAAAGATGGCGGGGCCCAGGGCAACCTGGCGGCTGCGGCGCGGGCCCTGACGTCACAGGACAGAGCCGGAAGCTCGCGGTCCGAGGTCGGTTCTCCATGGAAACGCCGCGGCCGCTGGTCCTGGTSGTTTCCAGGCGGAACGGAAGCGCAGGAAGTTCGGGGAAGTAAGTTCTGGCTCTTGTCAGTGGGTGTGGGGCCCTTGAGAGGGTGAGAAGGGAGTTCCCTGCGCCGCCGGCGGGCGGGCTCCGCACGTGGGAGATTGGAAGGCGGAGCCGGCGGCTGCCGGGAGGCCCGGGGTAGGGCTGCGGGCGCTCCGCCTGCGGGCAGGAGGTCCGGCCCCGGCAGGCTGCCGAGGACGCGGGCGGGCGCGGGTCCGGCGCTCAGCCTGGCGCCCCGCCGAGCGGCCACCTCCGGACGCCCGGGAGCCGGGCTGAGGGGCGGAGGAAGGCTCAGGGCGGCTCGGGTCGCGGTCGCGAGTGTCCGCCGTCAGGTTCCTGTGGGCGTGAGTGACCCGGTGGGCTGGGCTTCGGACGTGTGTCCGCGGCCCTTGGCCTGTCTCCGTCCTTCCTCGCGAGCGCCTCGCTTTCCTGCGGAGGTCGGGGTGAGGCGCTAGGCCGCCGTCGGCCCCTGCGGCCGGTCCCCGTGGGCGCCCCCTCGGGAACGCGGAGCTGCCCCACGCAGCCGCGGGCGGGCTGAGAGCCCCSGAGAACGGGACTCGGCCGGGAGCCGAGCTGAGAACGGACCGTGAGGCGTCGCGCTGTCCACCCGCAGGCCCCGCCGCAGGACGGAAGGGAGGAGCATCCGGACCCGACACCCTTCCTAGGACCTCGGGGCCCACGCGGAAGTTAGCACTTACCCSGMAGAAGAGAATGAGCAGCGTTGAGGTGACCTTTTCTTGTTTCATTCAGACTGCCTACCTCTGCTCSTAGATCTGTAAACGCCCGTGATTGTTTAGTCATCAGAATGTGTCTGGAGAGACACTCCGACATCGTGGGACTCTGATGGTCTTATGATTCCACTGAGTGACTGGTGGAATGACATGTGTGCATCAAAAGGATGTCGTGGTGGGTTAACTGACAGCCACCACCACAGGGGAATGGCGCTGAGTTATAAGAAACAGTGATTGCGAGCAGTCAGCAGACCGGTTCTGGGGGGACGATGTCACTGGTTTTGTTTTTCTGTTTTTTAGTCGAGGATGGACAGAGTATGTTCTTTTTTTTTTTTTTTTTTTAATGTGGTGCTGGGGATCAAACCCAGTGCCTCATGCAGTCTAGCCAAGCACTCTGCCACTGACCCCAGCATCATCCCTGATGTCACTGTTTCATGGCATTCAGGTATTAGGAAAAATTTGATAGTCTTTCTAGAGGTGATGGGTGGACACTGAACAGTATTCTTTATAGATACACAAGGGTATGTTTTCTATTGTTTATGGTAAGGTTCCTCAGAGACTCCTGTGGGCATAGACCAAGCTAACTGGGGACACAATTTATGAGGGCATCAAAGTAAGGCCACTCAGAGGACTCAGTTTATCCAGGAATAAAGAGAGGCCTTGGAAATGGAAAGGGTTCACCTGTCCTGAACAGGTAGCTGAACTGGTGTTTAAGTTCAGATTGTTTGATAAATGCCTGAGTTGTTGGGTTCTTCAGTGTTTGTCATCTCAACATACAGAACCCTCTACTTCCAAATTTCTTACCTACTTTTATTTTTTGTAACTAAATAACATATACATTTTAGAGAACAAAATTTCAACACTGACATATGTATTAACAGAAAGTAAATTCTCTCTTCAGCTGGGCAAGGGGGTGAAGTCCCAGTCACTCAGAAGGCTGAGGTGGAATAATCAGTTGAGCACAGGAGTTCAATGTCAGCCTGGACGGTGTAGTGAGTCCACCCTCATCTGAAAGAAAAAAAAAAAATTCCCTAACTGCATTGTAATTTCCTAAGTTCCTCATACTGGTTTAGCAAATGTTTGGTAGTTACTTAACTGTCACCAAACATGTGTTTTGTCTACATATGTATGTGTGTTTACAAATATATGTATATTTATGTACATGTTTGTGTACATAAGCACATGTATTTATACATTTTTTGCACCAATGGGATCACACTCAAAAGAACATAACCTATTGGTCTACAATGATATAATTTAAAGATGTAAAGGAATAACAGCTGCGATCAAATGAAGAATGTTCACCATATAAAATTATATTTGATTATACTCAGACTACAAAATATGAGTTAATGTAAATAAAGCATTTAGATGAGTGCCTACTATTCAATAAGTGATATGTGGTGTCATTCATGCCTTAAGTAATATTTAATGATGTTACCAAGTTTCATAGCTCATAGAGTGTGGTGGCACACAAGGTCACAAATTCAAGGCCAGACTGGGAAACTTAGATAAGACCTTATCTCAAAATAAAATAAATAAAAAGGGCTGGTGATAGTTTAGTGGTAGAGAGCAACCCTAGGTTCAATCCCTAGTACCACACACACACACACACACACACACACACACACACAAAGAAAGGAAAGAAAGAAGCAAAGAAAAAACATAATTTTCAATCTTCTGAGTGTCCTAATATTCTTTTTCCTTATTTTACATTTTCCTTATTTTATATTTTCCTTATTTTCATTTTCCTTGTTACATGTAGAGTTGAAGTCTTTTGTATATTTGTTGGTTAGTTGGACTTTTTTTTTTTTTGTGAAATGCCTGTTCTTATTTGTACATTAAAAATCTTTTTTTCTTAGCTTAATAGGGGTTGTTTATATGATTTTGGCTTGTGTATTTTCTAAGTGGATTTGTTTCATGTGAAATAATTCAGAAGGTGATAAGAACAGCAGCGTTAAGAACTTCCAGAGACTGGGGTTGTTGCTCAGTGGTAGAACACTTTCCTGGCATGTGTGAGACACTGGGTTTGAGCCTCAGCACCACATTAAAAAAAAGAGGAAAGTTAAATAAATAAAATAAAGGTATTGTGTCCACCTACAGCTTAAAAATAAAGAACTTGCAGCCTCCTTGGGTGTGGTGCCACACGCCTGTAATGCTGGTGACTTGGGAGGCTGAAGTAGGATGATTGGCAACTTAGGAAGACCCTAACTCAAAATAAAAAAAATAAAGAAGTAAAAAGGGCTGGGATGTAGTTCAGTGGTAGAGTGCCTTGGGCTCAATTCCCAGTATTGGGGGAAAAAAATTGTAGCCTTAAACCAGGGACAGTGACTTGTAGTCCCAGCTGCTTAGGAGGCCGAGGTAAGAGAGAGTATCATTTGAGGCCAGCTTGGACAACATTGCAAGATTTCATCTCTTTAAAAGAAGTTTTTGTGGCCTCTACCAAGTCTGCTTTCTTTTCTGTGTAATAATCTCTGCAATGACATTGGGATAAAATGTCTTCGGAAACCCCTAGGCTTCCCCATCTCAATTTCCCATACTGCTCTATGATTGCAAGCCATGTTGAGACAGAAGAATGCAGTTCAGTGGACAAGCAGGTCCCAGTTCCTTCCCAGTGGCAGTCAGGACTAGGCTGCTTTGCCACCTTATTTGCACCTTATTTGTGGAGAAGTCACCTGTCAGTATATGTTATCTTTTCTTTGTAGTAATGTTTTTCTAGTGTTGTCACAATTTTATATTTGCATTAGTGTTACGTAGTTTCTATCTGATGTACCTAAATGCAGATTTCTGGCTTGGCTTTGTGGTTAATATAACTAACTCTGGTTGTGGCATGTTTTATCAGTTCTGAAAATTGCTTACTCTTCAGATCTTTGTATATTTTTTCTATTTCAGTATGAATTATATGTAGGTTTATGTCTCACTGTTCTCCATATTTATTAAATTTGCCTTTTGTGTCTCTGTTGGCCTTAAACTTGTGGGCTCATAAGTAGCTGAGACGACAGGTGCACACCACCATGCTTGGCTTTCTGCTTCATTTTTGGTTATTTATTTATTTATTTATTTTGATACTAAGGATAAAACCCAAGGGCCCTTAACCACGGAACCACATCCCCAGCCCTTTTTTTTTTTAAAAAAAAAAATTAATTTTGAAACGGGGTCTTGCTAAGTTGTTTAGGACCTTGCTAAGTTGCTGAGGCTGGCCTTCAATTTGAGATCTTTCTGCCTCAGCCTCCAAGTTCCTGGAATTATAGGTGAGTACAACTGTGCCAGCTGATTATTTATTTTTTAAAATGCACATTCCAGTTCATTATCTTTTCAGTTTGTCTAATTTAACCTTTCTGTAAGCAGATATATGGATATATAGGGGTGTGTGTGTGGTGGTGGGGGGGTGCATTCTTATGTATACATGTATTTAATACATATATTTTCAAAAAATAATTTTTTCAAATTTGATCAGTCTATAACAATTCTTATACTTGATGTATATTTCTTTTTGTTGTTGAAGTTGCATTCTGTAATTAAACACTTATATAGTGTCCTGAAGTTCTGGCATCTCTTCCATGTTTTACTCTGGTGTTAGTCAGGAAGACTCACATACAGAAATCTATAGTATATGTCTGGATGTCACCAGCCTTTAATTTTTCTTTCTTTCTTTTTTGTGGTATTGGGGTTGAACCCAGGGTTTGGGGCAGGTCAGGCAAACACTCTACCCAGTGAGCCACATCCACAGCAGTATTTAATATTCTGATTGTCAATAGATGCTGAAATACTTAGTTGGGTGAATAGCTCACTGCACAGTATTGTAGAATATCTGGAGATTGAKTCTATGACTATGTATTAAAAATACAGTAGGCTTATATATTCAGCCAATATACATTATTATGAGCAGCACAACTTCCTTTTCRTTCTTTGTGAATCGGTAAATAACAACCCTCAGATTAATTAGGGTTCTGTTATTACAGGAGTTGCTGACACTGGAGGATGTGGCTGTGGCATTCACTYGGGAGGAGTGGCAGCTCCTGGGCCCTGGGCAGAAGGACCTGTACCGGGACGTGATGTTGGAGAACTACAGCCATCTGGTGTCAGTGGGTGAGGATGGCTGCCCTGTGTAGCGCAGAGGGTGCAAGTCTGTGGTTTTTCCTTTAATAGCTACTTAATGAGCCAGAGCCTCTGTAGTGGTTTTTCCTGGTAGATTCTTGGATCCAGACAAGAGGGTCTAATGTGCTACCTCCTGAGAGAAAAGCCTCTGCTTTGCAGTTGGGAAAGCTGTCTAATCCTTGAACATAACCTCTCCCATGTTGACACATCTCAGCCCATAGCTGTGTCCAAGTCTTTTCTCACTTCCCACAAACAGGGTATCCAGTCAGCAAGCCAGATGCTCTTTCCAAGTTGGAACAAGGGGAAGAACCTTGGACAGAAGATGAAATGCACACTTGGATCTGTCCAGGTGAGAACTGCAAGATGTTTCMGCACAGAATCTTATTCTAATTGGTCAGAAAAAGACACATGGGATCTGAGTATACAGAAACACAGCTTGCATGGATCTCTTTCCCCATCTCAGAATGTTTCTTTAGGTCTTGAGAGGGAAGTATATCCTTTTGTTGTCTTTGTAGATCTGATACTTGCCCATTTCATCTTGCTTTTTGTTTGTTTTGCCTAATTTTGTTCTTCCTTGGCTTCTATCACCCTGCCGTTTTAAATTACTTTTTTCTCTTACCCCTTTTTATACCTGTCACAGTGTCTCTACCTGTTCTTTGGAATTCCACCTTCCAGACCACGTTCCATATAGAGATCTGTGAAATCATCATCTGTCTTCTGATTTCTGCTTTCCTGTTCCATTGGGAATGACCAGTTCCTCTTCTGAACATCCAGACCCACCATGTATATCGTGAACTCACTATAACTTGAGCTTATTGTGAATTTAGATGATTCCTTAGCTGCTTTCCCCCCATTCTGAGGGTTCTTCAATAGTTTTTCTGTTTTATGTGCTGTTTTTCTAATCTTTAAATTTGGTCTTTGTACCATGATTGAGCTTTCTTTGTTCTCTAAATGAGACTCTCAATTGATATCTTGCTTAATATTGCCTAATATGTACTTTAGTCCTACCTGTTTTACTTTCCTCTATGGCAGCTGGCCTGTGGYTTTCCAGTTTCTGAGGAAAGGAATCATCTTCCTTCCACAAAAAACCCATCTTGCTGGAGTCGGGTTGTAGCTCAGTGGTGGAGCATTTGCCTAGTATGTGTGAGGCACTGGGTTTGGTCCTCAGCACCACATAAAAATAAAGAAAATAAAGGTATKTAAAATAAAGGTATATTCATGCTGGTGGCATCTTGCATGTTATAAAGTTCTTTCTACACATGTAGACCTTAAAGGTCTGCTTCTGTTGACTCTCATAACTAGAAAGGACTGTTTTGCATTCGGTATCACTTCTAGTCCAAACCAGGTCATAATTTATGTCTGCTCAGTGTATCTCCTCCATGCATTTTTTTTTTTCTTTTAAACTTACAGTGCTGGGTATTGAACCTAGGGCTTCTCTCATGCTAGGCAAGTACTCTTCTAAGATGTATTCCACAGAAGTTATGAAGGATTCATTGTTCTCTTGTTTCCTAGAAAATGACAAAGTTGATCATCTTCAGGGTCACTCAGAAAATCAAAGAATGCTGAAGATTATAAAAAAATATGAACTTCAAAGCAAAAGTCATTTTCCTTTCAAGGAAAATCATAATAGGACTGAGGTATATATAAGGAATTTGAAGTCAAATTTAAGTTTAGTCAACCAAAACAAAAACTATGGCATTAAGAACTCTACTAAATTTAAGGGAAATGTGAAATCATTTCTGAAAGAGACGTATGAAGAATTCCATTCTGCAGTTAAGGTACCTGTAAGTGGAAAACCCATTAGTGATAAGTCCCAAGTCATTAAGCATCAGAGAATCCATGAAATAGAGAAAACCCATGTGTGCAGTGAATGTGGGAAAGCCTTCTTCAAGAAGTCTCAGCTCACTGATCACGAGAGGGTACATACAGGAGAGAAACCCTATGGATGCAATATGTGTGCCAGAGTATTCTCCAGAAAGTCCAGGCTCAATGAACATCAGAGAATTCATAAAAGAGAGAAGTCCTGTATATGCAGTGAATGTGGAAAAGTCTTTACTATGAAGAGCCGATTGATTGAACATCAGCGAACTCATACTGGAGAGAAACCCTATGTGTGCAGTGAATGTGGAAAAGGCTTCCCGGGCAAGCGTAATCTCATTGTACATCAGCGGAACCATTCTGGAGAGAAGTCCTATGTGTGTAGTGAGTGTGGAAAAGGCTTCACTGTGAAGAGCATGCTTATTATACATCAGCGAACTCATACAGGAGAGAAACCCTATATCTGTAGTGAATGTGGGAAAGGCTTTACCACAAAGCACTATGTCATCATACATCAGCGAAATCATACAGGAGAGAAACCGTATATATGCAGTGAGTGTGGGAAAGGCTTTAGCATGAAGAGTCGTCTGATTGAACATCAGCGAACTCATACTGGAGAGAAACCCTATGTATGTAACGAATGCGGAAAAGGATTTCCCAGGAAGAGTAATCTCATTGTACATCAGAGAAACCATACAGTAGAGAAGTCCTATCTATGTAATGAATGTGGAAAAGGCTTCACTGTGAAGAGCATGCTCATCATACATCAGCGAACTCATACGGGAGAGAAACCCTACATCTGCAGTGAATGTGGGAAAGGCTTCCCCTTGAAGAGCCGACTGATTGTACATCAGCGAACTCATACTGGAGAGAAACCTTACAAATGCAGTGAATGTGGGAAAGGGTTCATTGTGAATAGTGGACTGATGTTACATCAGCGAACTCATACTGGAGAGAAACCCTACATATGCAGTCAATGTGGAAAAGGTTTTGCCTTCAAGAGCAATCTTGTGGTACATCATCGSACTCATACTGGTGAGAAACCGTTTACATGCACTGAATGTGGAAAAGGCTTCACCATGAAACGCTATCTTGTTGTACATCACCAAACTCATACAGCTGAGAAATCCTACATATGTAATGAATGTGGAAAAGGCTTTTCCTTGGAGACCGAGCTCAGTTTACACAAGCAAGTTCATACTGGAGAGAAACCATATGCATGTAATGAATGTGGTAAAGGCTTCACTGTGAAAAGTCGCCTAGTCGTTCACCAGCGAACTCATACTGGAGAGAAACCCTTTGTATGCAGTGAATGTGGGAAAGGCTTCTCTTCAAAGAGAAATCTCATCGTACATCAGCGAATACATAATGGAAACAAACCCTAATAATATAATGAACATGGTAATGCCTTCAGGTAGAAAAAGTTTTGTGTAACATTCCAAGATTTCACATAGGGCAGACTTCTTTGTGTAGAATGAGGGTGGATAAGTTTTACACACCTTCCATTTCATCCATGAGGGAATTTACACAGGAGATGGACCATATTAACTCAGTATGGGAATGCCCTCAACATGAATCAGTCTTTAAATTATATGATGCACCTAGTGTACATCAAATAATTCATACAAGGGAGAAGAGACTTTACTCATTCAGTTATTAGGGGACCTTGCTGTCCTGTCAGGCTTCATCAAAAATATGACAGTAGCAATTCTTTGCACAGAATCTCAACTCATTACATATAAGCAAACTCATGTAGGGGCAAACTGTGTTAGTACTTTGAACTCATTAAATATCACTGTGCTTCTAACATATGATTATTTAGCATAGAGCAACTTGTTCATAGATTTTCACCATTGGGAGATTGTGGAATTTGCATAGGGGTGAAAGTTTAATGAATACAGAGAATGTACTAGTGCCTTAAGTAATTAYCTCACATAGTATGTGAAAATAAGCAGAAAAATATTCTGATAACATTTAAGGCAGAAAAGTCTTGAAAAAAGTGTATAATGAGATAAATATAAATAGGGAGACTAGAAAGGCCTTCCAGGAGAAAATAAAAACTCTTTAACTCATTAGTGATCAAAAGAGACCATCAATGAACTCCTACATAGTAGCAACATAATGATCATAGAAAAGCCATTACCTGGAAATAAAACCTTAATAGTTGTCAGGTATCTTACTGTGGACAAGAAAGAATTTCAAATGGCAATGAATAGGGCAGATTTCAGTAATATGTTCTGCTTCTTATATCTGTCATTAATGCACACAGAAATAAAACTTAAGAACACATTAAATGTAGAATGACTTTTTGCAGAGTGGATTCTGGGGATTTAACCCAGGGGCACTTTACCACTAGCTATATCCCCAGCCCTTTTTATTTTTTTGAGACAGGGTCATACTAAGTTGCTGAGATTGACATTGTAATCCTCCTGCCTTAGCCTTGGGAGTCACTGGGGTTACAGGCGTGCACCACCATGCCTTGCAATAGAGAATGCTTTAGYAAATTCAGAAAATCAATGTAGTAAAGAAGTCTCATGAAAATGATGTCTATTGGAGGGCTATCACGAATCTAAAGTCATCATACTTGATGTCCATTTTGAGACAGGATAACCTGAGTAATATCAACTATCCATAATTTTAAAGTGAGGTGTTTTAATCACTAATTTTAATGCATATATACAATACAGGAGTGTTACGTGCTCATCTTGTATCATATAATTAACTCAAGCATATTTTAGGCTCTATTGATGTATTTTAAAAGGAATATATTAATTCTGTAAATTCATATTTAAGTTTAAAGTAGCATCAAGTAATTTACAAAATATGATTTTACTAAAAAATGTTTTGAAAGAATTTTAGATTCATAAGAAATTACAAAATATATGTTCCTGGGTAGCCTTTATGCAGCCTCTTTAGTGACAATTATCTTAACCAGAATACACAAAACCAATTCAAATGACATTAGTATAATTGCTTTTTTTTTTTGGTGCTAGAGATTAAACTCAGGGCCTTGTGCATACTAAACATGCATTTTATCACTGAGCCACATCCCAGGCCTATAAGTTATAGACCTTATTTGGACTTTACTAGTTATTGTTTTTCGTACCAGTGATTGAACTCAGGGTCACTTGATCACTGAGCCACATCCCCAGCCCTGTTTTGTATTTAGAGACAGGGTCTCACTGAGTTGCTATAAGTGCCTCATRTTTGCTGAGGCTGGCTTTGAACTCTAATTCTTCCTGCCTCAGCCTCTTGAGCTGCTGGGATTTCAGGTGTGTGCCACCAAGCTGGCAGGACCTTACTAGTTTTTGCATATGCTAAAATGGTGTGGTTTGGTGTGTAGAGTTCTGAAGAATTTTGTATACATATACAGAATTTTGTTTACATATCCACATGTAAAAGTTCACCACAATTAGGATGCCAAACTGTTGTGCCAACACTAGGAAATGTCACATCCCCCAACCCAAAGCCATAGCAACCACCGATCACTTAACCTCCCTCCATAACTTTGTCATTTCACGAATGCTATTAAATTAGAATCATACCATATATAACCTTCATTCACTCAGTAAACTGCCTTTTAAGATCCATCTAAGTTGTTGGGTGTGTTGTGTTAGTAGGATTTTGTATGGCTGAACCATGTTGTTTCTCCACTGTTGACAGACGTTTGAGTTTCCACTGTTTTGCTGTCATGAATTCAGATGCTGTGAACAGCTATGTATCTAATTTTGTGTGAACATTAAGTTTTTAGGTCTCTGCGATAAACACTGAAGAACACAACCATTGGTTCATAAGTGTGTGTTTATAAGAAACTGTCAAGCTACTTTCCACAATGRCTATGTACATCCCCACTAATGAAGTGTGAGCACTCCATTGTCCCATGTCCTTTCTAGCACTTGGAACTGTCACTGAGTTCGCCTTATTGGGTGTGTGGTGGAATATAATCATGGCCTTAACTTACATTTCCATGATGCAAATGTCTGTCAACACCTTGACATCTACTAGAAACCATATGAGACTATAATTTTTTTGTTTCAACCCAATTTTTAAAATTCAAAGGCATAGCCTACCATATTTGATATTTGCCTCGTTTGTTGCTTTTATTTCATTCCCAATGATACATTTCCTTCCATTATTTCCTCTTTTCCAGAACATCAATTTGAATAAGTCTGCTTGAAAAAATTCTAGATTTCCTAGGAACAAGGATCTTGTTTTCTCTCTCCAGTTATCTCCCTTGATATCATTAAGTTTATWTAA